GCAAACCAAAGATGCCTTTAAAAAAAAAAGTTTACATCATATTCGTATGCATGCCAGTGCTGTGTGTGAGGTAATTTAAGGTGGTTCTGACAAGTGTCGTCGGCATCTTCATATCTGGGCGGCAAGCCACTCCCATCCGGTCACATGGGTGGCAAGCCACTCCCACAATGGAGGCCACACCCACGGAGTAGGTTCGAACAATTTTTGAAACCCACCACTGGTATAAGACCACAGTTGGAATACTGCCTTCAATTCTGGTCACCATGATATGAAAAAGTTGTTGAGACTCTTGAAAGAGTGAGATTTCCCCCTCATCTTATAAATTAAAAGCTTTGGTTTTCTATCAGTTCTTTGATTCCTTAGTCCATTAAGAACAGGAAATTTCAGAAAACATTCATAGCGATGTTGGTCATAGAGAGACTGTTGCTACTTCTGTGAGTTAGACAAATTTTTAAAAGTGTCCCATAAAATTAATTATGTAAAGGGCCTCATCTTATCAGCCCTTTATATAAAGAATTACTGAGAACTCTTCTGTGTTTGAATGCCTGCATCTTGTAGAAGAAACTATCAATAGCCAACACAATGGTAAATGAACAGTTTTACAATTGAAACTTCTCAGGCATATGCGATAGAGAGAACTGAGAAAGAAGGTATACTTTTGGTTCACAAAGAAATAGATTAGATGTGAAAATTATATATATATATAATACACACATACATGGTATGGGAATAGAAAATGTAGAGGGTGAAATAATCTGATAAATCTGCTACAATTTATATAGAACTATACTGTATTGTTTAAAAGTAATTTTCAGCACTTTGGTTTAGTTAACTAAATTAGTTACTCAAAAATCCAGTATTTAGCATGTAATTGCCATCCTAAAGCAATTAATTATTTATATAGTCTCCTTTTCATGCTAGTATAGATACTCACTATTGGGCATGGATTAACCCTTTCGTGATCTTGGAATCACTACTTTTCTACCCCCTGTCTTTTCTCTTCTCTGGAGAGGGATCATTTGGTAAGAAATCGTGAACCTATATTTAAACGCCTTTGTCTGCTGCATGTAAAAGTTCAGACATCCAGGGTCAGATTGTGTATCTAGGCCCCCAAAGCCTCCGGTCACTGGAACAAAACCTCTGTGGCATTGCTTAGGTGACCTGGGGTGAGATATAAACTAAGTATCATTAGTGGGACTTCCATGGCTTGCTTAATGTGTAACTGTAAGCAAAGCACAGTTACAAAATTTCAATAGCACAGCTCAAAGCTCAGGACCGTCCTAGAGGTTTCTACAGCATTACAATATGGTCATGTATATGTTATTTATTATTAGATGAACATTATTTTTGACCATCCATAGTTCAGCAAATATTGTATCATGGACATGTACACATTTGTTGTCATGTGCACTTCTGTCCCTAATGTACAAGATAAGTGCAAACCCTCAAAATCAGTGGAAAACATCTGAGCACTCTTATAGTTAAAACCATTCCAAAGCATCTGGAGATAATTTTTACTCAAAATAAAAATAAGTACTGCTAACATTTTTTGCTTTCTCACTGTGGATCATCAATTCATAAGAATCATGAACAGGTAGTCATCGACTTATGACAACAATTGAGCCCAAAATTTCTGTTAAGTGAGTTTTGCCCCATTTTATGACCTTTCTTGGCCCAGCTTTTTAAGTGAATCACTGCAGTTGATAAATTAGTAACCCAGTTGTTAAGTGAATCTGGCTTCCTCATTGATCTTGCTTATAAGGTGGTTGCAAAAAGTGATCACATGACCTTGGGAATCAGCAGTGGTCATAAGTATTCTTAGTTGAATTTTGATAATATGATCATGGGGATGCTGCAAAGGTCATAGGTCACATTTTTCAGTGCCATTGTAACTTTGAGCAGTCACTAAACAAACTGTCTTTAAAAACGTAAACATTATTCTAGAAACAAGGAAAACTAATATCATGCAAGGCATGGATTCTCCTATTTCTAAGCACCTTGGCCAGGTGAGTTTTCTGTTGTGTTGTATATTATTAGTTGGCAAATTTCAGAAGGCTCCATTTATCATTCTTTTGCTTTAATTCATGGAAGTGATTCGGGAGGGATCCCTCCTAAAATTAAAATAGTTGGTTGGAATCCACATACGGTGACGGATCCATGCTTTAATGTTAGGCATTGCCAAATAATACTGGCTAGATGTGATAAACAGGATTTGCCAGTGGCCTCTGGGGGATGACTTGTTAAAATAAGGGGCCCTGCATCCTATGCATGTTTTTGATTTAGAACAGGGATCGCCAACCTTGGCAATTTTAAGCCTGAAGGACTTCAACTCCCAGAATTCCAGCAAAGCTGGCTGGGGGAATTCTGGGAGTTGAAGTCCACCAGACTTAAAGTTGCCAAGGTTGGAGACCCCTGGTGTACAGCACTGTGTGAAAACGCTGCCACCATATTACAGCCCGTTTACTCCACCGGACAAGATAATGGGTTGTATTTGCATTCCACCTACAATCACGCAGCGTTTAGGATCTGAAGCCGCTCAAATAAAAATGGCTGAGTTAGAAGAAGTCCATTTTCCTCCTTTTCTTCCTACTCTTTATTTCCACACACTATTAACTGAGTCACCGTCACGAGCAACCCGATCCCCTTCGTCGCTCAAGCCTCCCAGCTTCTTGACTGACTCACAGGGGAGGTTTTTCCAAAAATGGCTTCGGAACCCGGAAACACTCTCTCCCTCGAATAAGATGCTTCGTCAGCACCACCCCCTGGTTACGCCCCTAACAGGGCACAGCTGATATAAAGGCCTGGGCGGCGAGGGGCTGGGGGTGGAAAACGCTAGGTTTGTGTTTGCAAACAGGGAGCGGGCGCAGCTATCTCCTCCTTCCCTCCAGCAGCGATGTCGTGCGGCGGACTCTCCGAGCCAAAGGCAGCCACTGCGGAGACGCAGCAAATCACGCAGGAGGTAAAAAGAAAAAAGAGCCAACTTTGCATCCTCGCCTGAAAACTTCTTTCCCTTTTCTCCCCGCTACCAGCGCTCACCCTGAAGCCTCCAGTTGTCCGCCAAAGTTTTCCCCTTGTCGCCTTTGTAACTTGGCTTCATCCGAACAAAGCCTTTACCCTTTCTAATTGGGACGGGGTGGGTGGATTATTCAGTGGTGGAGGCTGCGGTTTGCCCGAGTAGTGGGGGGATGAAACTGCTGTGCTTCGTGCCTCACCCTTTCAACCAACTATGGCTGTGGTTTGACCAAAAAACCCTAAGGAGCTCGGTTGGAATCTGCCATTGGGTGTCCCATGATGGCCAAGTGGATTTTAGTGCATTTTAGACGCTCACAACAAGCCCAGATTGGAGGGCATCATTCCATTGTTATTTTCAAGTCCTTTTTTAAACACCCAAACAGACAGCAGTGAGTGTTGCCTTTCCCCATAGAGAATCATCAGCCTGCAAAGGCTCTGACATGCTATTTAGCCCTTCGTGGTAGTCCAGACAAGAAGTACAAGTATGAATAAAGTTATATTGTAAGATTACATTAACAAACTCTTAAAAGCCCAAAAGTATTTCTTCCCCTCCTTTGTTTTCACTTTCCAGGAAACTAGGGAGGATCCCTTCCGAGAAGCTTCCTATGCCCCTTTTCCTTCCATAGGCTGAGGTATCTTTTGCAGGAGAGGGGTCCAGCTGCCTTGTTGTGGGGAAAATAGGAGGAGGAAAGAATATCTGATATATTAGAGCCTTGAATTGTATATGGGGGGGGGGGGAAATCCAGAAATTATTTTCTGATGTATTTAAACTGATATTTTAGAGTTGTTGCTTCATTCTGGGGACCCAATTGTCACTCATTACAAAAAGCAGGACAGGAAATAGCATCTATTTTCCAGTATTTTATTTCTTTTAAAGTTTGGAAATTAGCTGAGTCAGACACTTCAATAAAGAGCTAGTTTATACCCAGAATTAAACTTTTGCTTGTGCTTTGCAATATTGTAAAGATTGCATTTCCATGCCAGAGATTTGTAAAATGTTCAGTCATAAGACTGGACGATTGGAAGAATATCACATCTTGATTTAGGACAAACAAGCAACAAGAAGTCCCCCTCCCAAATATTCTGATTTAATGAGAGGATATAACATTTGCTTTTAATGAACTACTTCATTACAGTGTAGCTCTGCTTTCTCTGTTGCTTTTTATGATTATCTACCAGGCACAGCAAGTCAAGCATATCTTTGCTGGTTCCTGATGTATCTTGTGGTGTCACAGAGAAGTTTAGCAAATAAAGTTTTGTATATCACTTTCCACACAAAAGGAATTTTTTCCTATTTATTTCTTCAAAATCCTTTTGCAGTCATTAATATTATTTTGTTGGTTGTTGAGTGAATAAACAGTATTTCCATTTCATTTCATTTCACTTCATGGTTATCCTGGATTTATTATTTTCTAATTTACAATTTTGCATATACTCATGATTGATGTAGTGATGTATAGTTAATCTATAATGTATTTACAATAAAAAACATAAAATGTCCTTGATTCTGGCATACTTTGCACTGTGAACCAAACCATTGTGATGGTTTAACATGTGGCATAAGCTGTTAGTTGTGGCTCTATTCACTAAGTTATGCTTCAGAAAACAATGACTTAGTGCATTTTCTAAATGCAGCCCATCAGAATTGCTCCTTTTTGTAGAATTATAAGTCACATGAGTTGAAATAGATTTGCTTTATTAAATGAGTAATCTGTATAGGAATTTGGTTCTAGAGCAGGACTGTAAACACAAGTGCATTTACAGTAATTCCACTTGCACTGGTAGAATTCATTTTCAAATAGAAAGGATGTTAAAACACTAAACATAGGCTTTCTATTCTAACAGTGAAGCATAAATTTATTGAATAGTGCTGGGTAATTAAATTTTCCTATTAGACAGGATGGGTAACCTGTTTTTTTTAAAAAAAATACTCTTAAAAGTGTATATTGTATCTGAATAAATACCACTGAGATCAGTGGAGTTTCCATCCCAGTAAGACAGAATAAGATGGTAAACTAAGTGAGCCACCAAAATTTCTTACTTCCTTTCTACTACAACTGGACATCCAAAACACTCCAGAACAATTAAACTAAGCATCGTCTAATGGAGTAAATCCTTTAAATGTGAAACAGAAAAGGAAGGGCTTGTACAAATGGTCACAAAACATAATAGTTCATGTTTAGCTGGAAAAGAAGAATGGTTTAATTCTTCATCTGTGAAACAAACACTTCTAATTCTACGATCTATACACCAAGTGCTAAATGGTGTAGAACAACTGGCTCTTGGGGCTGACCGGGGATGAGGTATAATCTGTAGAAAGTATGCTTGAATTCCCCAAGACCAAGGCTTTATAAAAATATAAACATAAGCATGGAAATAAAAACAGTAAAACATTGTCTCAAGAATGTACCACACTTAGTTTGGGGGCATTTCAAGCTGGAAAGCAGATGCTTTCAGTGATATCTTTTTAGAGAGCATCTTTCAAGCTTTCATGTTTTATTTCATTTCTGCATTTATTGTTTGTATCTTCAATAAAGACTGTGGCATTGCAGGATGTGTGTTTTGATAGTTTTAAACAGCAACAACAAGCATTTTTCTCATTTTCTGTTCCCAAAGATAAAGTCACAGCTGGAAGAAAAAGAAAGCAGGAACTTCAACATCTTCGATGCTGTTTTATATAAAGCACAAATGGTTGCCGGAGTAAACTATTTCATCAAGGTAGTACATGTGGTTCCTATAAGATGCTATAGTATAAATTTCCTCTTGCATAGTACTACTTTATCTGGGCTGTAAAAATCCCCCAGTACCACTTTGCTACTCTTCAGTCATCATTCAAATTTTACAACTCAGATTTCTCCAGCTTTTGTGAGTGATAAACTACATCTAGTTTATCGGCTGGAAATGAAAACATTCTAGATTTCCCCATAGGTCACTGTGCCCGCTGCCAATTGAAAGAAAAATACCTTTGCTGCCCAGTGTAATAGATATAACAAAGGTTGTTCAGGTAATATATGCAGGAGCTGTACAACTCCCATAAGTGCTTTGTGCAGATAGTAGTAATGGATCAGGGAGAAAAAGACTAAGTTAAAATTGTATTAATAATAAAGAGACTGGAGGCTAAAATATATGATGAACAGTTACAGGAACTGGGCATGACTGTGAAGAGAAGAACCGGGGAGACATGATAGCAGTGTTCCAATATTTGAGGGACTGCCACAGAGAGGAGGGGTCAAGCTATTTTCCAAAGCGCTTGAAAGCCAGACGAGTAATGGACGCAAAATGATCAAGGAGAGATTCAACCTGGAAATAAAGATAAAATTTCTGACAGAACAAACAACCAATGGAACAGAAGTTGCCTTCAGAAGTTGTGGGAGCTTCATCACTGGAAGCTTTCAAGAAGAGACTGGACTGCCATCTGTCAGAAATGGTGTAGGGTCTTCTGCTTGGGTGGGGGGTTGGAATAGAAGACCTCCAAGGTCCTTCCAACTCTGTTAGTCTGGTGTCCATTTTCAAGGTAGAAAAGATGCCAAAACCCTTCCTGTGATCTGGATGCAGACCTCCCACTCCTAAGGTTCCTGAGATATTGTAAAATGTTTATAAGATCTTTTTCTGATATTGGATCTGATTGGTTTTTTTATCTTCTAGATCCATGTGGGGAATGAAGAGTACTATCATGTTCGAGTGTACAAAAGGCTCCCCCATGAAAACAAGCCAATAGAGCTCACAAATTATCAGAGCAAGAAAGAAAAGCATGACGACTTGACTTATTTCTAAAGAGTCACTTAGAAGTTCTTTTCTTTTCTTACATTCTTACGGGGTATATATACACACATCTAAACATGTAGTGCTTATTTTGCAAAAGTTAAAAAAATATCATTTTTTTACAAAGGTGTTACTGTTAAATCTGTACTACACGTCTTAATTCTATTAAAAGCAAATGATACAACATTAGTTTTGCATGTAATTTGTTGTTGGAGCCCTCAGACATTGGAAGCGTTCTACCCCAATTCCCCCAAAAAACAAACAATGAGCTGGCTTTGAAGAAGAAGAAAAAAACAAGCAGTTCCGGTTATGCAAGCCTGAAACCCTTTATTCTTGTATATCTGTGTAAACTTTAGCTTTGTGCCTTTTTCAGAAAAACAACTAAAAATCTAATATTGTCGGATTGGAGATTTAATGCTGACAGGATAGTCTCTTAGCCAGTATATTGGGTAGGTAAAATGGAGATGCAGGGAGAGCCCAGGGGCTGTTATCGACAGGGGGACAATATCAAGATCATGTGAAATGTTCGTACCACTTTATACTGCTTTGGTAAGGCCTCACTTGGAATATGGTACTTCCTCCAGTTTTGGTCACCTGGATACAAAAGTAATGTTGAGATTCTAGAAAGGGTGCAGAAAAGAGCAACAAAGATGATTGGGAGACTGGAGGCTAAAGCATATGATGAACGGTTGCAGGGTATATCTAGTCTAACAAAGAGGAGGAATGGGATGACATGATAGCAGTCTTCCAATATTTGAGGGGCTGTCACAGTGAAAAGGGGGTCAACCTATTCTGCAAAGCTCCTGAGGGCATAACAAGAAGTAACGGGTGGAAATTTATCAAGGAGAGAACTAACCTAGAACTAAGGAGAAATATCCTGTCAGTGAGCACAATTAATCAGTGCAGTAGTTTTCCTCCAGAGGTTGTGGGTGCTCCATCACTGGAGGTTTTTAAGACGAGATCAGACAGACAATCTCCTGCTTGAGCAGAGGATTGGGCTAGAAGACCTTCACGGTTCCTTCCAACTTTGTTATTCTGAAAGAGTAAAAGCTTCCTCTTTTGTGGAGGAAACAATATATTTTGATCCCCTGTGCTCAACCCTGAGGCCTTTTGTCTGGAGCCCTGATACCTCTGGACTCTGGCTGTTGCTATTTAATACCAGCTTGGTCTGCAGGATCGACTCTTTTCAGTCAGGGTTCAGGCCTGGCTCTAATGCTAGGACAGCATTATCCGTGATTGTGGATTAACTGTGAAGGGCCTGGTATGAGGTGGTCCATCCATTCTGACCTTCCTGGATCTTTCACTGGTTTTTAGTATCACTGATTTTAGTAATTTCCTGGACTAGCTCTGGTCGTTGGGAGGCACTGTTTTGCTGTAGTTCTCCTCCTCCTGTGGTAGGTTCCAGTTGGTGGACGCCTTGGTCTCTTCAATTTAGGGTGTCTCGATGCTTGAGGCAGAACTGAAAAAACTTCTTGGATGAGAAGCTAAATGTCCTCAAGGAAAAACAAGAAAGTCCAGTTGCCTTTTGAAAAAAAAATGCTTTGAATCTTTCACTCTTCCTCTTCAACATCTACTTGATGCAGCTTGGAAGAGCTCATCTGATGGCATGTTGTATATGTCTGCCCTCCAAAGTAGTTCAAACTTGGAAACCAAAGTCATGGAAACTACTACTTGTATTATAAAGTTATAGTAAACAAATTTTGAAATATGAAACCACTACCCTTTATCTTCATAAGAACCAGGGAGGGTCAGGATTTGGATAGGGAAGAACCCACTTCAATTCAACAGTAGCAAAATTAAATGGTTCTGGGTTTTTGACACACACACACACCACAGGTTCTGGCAAGACATCATATTTCACTTTTGCTTGTAATGCACATCTCTCAACAGAGATGGTAGAGTGGGTCCTTCTAGACTCTAGACTCATGGTGTCTGCTGAAGATGGCAACCATGACAGATTAAACTTGTGAACCAATTGCATCCATTCCTGGAGCAGGTGGTCTTGTTTACAGTCACTCATACCTGGTTGGTTTACTGCAATGTACTCTACATGAGGCTGACCCTTGAAAACCATCCTGAAATTGCAACTGGTCCAGAATGAGATTGCAGGTGCAGTTTTGGCACTCTGTGGTTCACCCATGTTACATAGCTGCTGAGTGAGCTGCACTGGCTTTCAGTTTCTGGGTTTGATTCAAAATACCTGTTATCACCTTTAAAGCCTTTAATGACCCATAGTCAGGCCATTTACGGACTGCATCTCCTTGAGGATATCTGCCTATTTCATTAGCAATAGCAGCAATAGCACTTAGACTTATATACCACAGTTGGGGGGGGCACTGCTTTATAGTCCTCTCTAAGCAGTTTACAGAATCAGCTTATTGCCCCCAACTATCTGGGTCCTCATTTTACCCACCTTGGAAGGATGGAAGGCTGAGTCAACCTTGAGCCTGGTGAGATCTGAACTGCCCAAATTGCAGGCAGTCGGCAGGCAGCAGAATAGCTTGCAGTACTGCATTCTAACCACTGTGCCACCACGTCTCATTAGGTCTGCTGAGTGAGCAGATTCCAGGTCCCTTCCTTAAATATTGCCATTTAGTGGGATCTAGGCAGTGCCCCCTGTTCTTTACAGCACCCTTCGTCCTGAGATCTGGTAAGCCTTACCCTTCTAGCTTTCCAAAAGCTTTTACTTTTCCCAAAAGTGTTGGGATAATGTGAGACTGAAGCAGTGGATGGAGCAGTGGATGTGGGAACACCAGGAGTTTAGTATTGTGGTTTTGTTTTTCTTATTTTTATTGTTTTTCCCTTTGTGATCTACCCAAGGTTATGCTGTGTAAGGTGTGTGTCTGTATAAATCAAATGAGCAATCAAGGAAGCAGTTTCTGTTAGATATTTGTTCTAACTACAGTGGTTTCCACCAAGGTCCTCTATTCCAGCGGGAACAGAGGTTTAATCCTATTGGTCGAAGGGTATGACAGCTCCCTATAAAAGCTCAGAGTCATCCTTCGCTGGATTGTTCTCACTTGTTGTACTGAATAAAGAGCTGTTGTTACCGTTAAGCTTGTGTGTGCCTATCCATTTCCCCAGTGGTAGTCAACCTGGTCCCTACCGCCCACTAGTGGGCGTTCCAGCTTTCACGATGGGCGGTAGGGGTTTGCTGTAACTCTGCTTTATAAATTTTATAAAGTTACTTCCCTACTTTATAAATCACCATTACTGTGGAACCGGTGGGCAGTTAGAAAATTTTACCACTAACAGAGATACAAAAGTGGGCGGTAGGTATAAAAAGGTTGACTACCCCTGCATTACCTAATGTAACAGTTTGCCTTTCTTTTTCTAAAAAAATATACGTTTAAGAGGAAGCAGTTGCTAAAAGAATGATGTTTTCATTCATCAGATGGTCATCTGATCCATGAGTCAGCTGCAGTTGTAAGATCCTCCCCCTCAGACCACATGCTTAGACATTTTGCTTAGCCAACAGGCACTCTGAAAACCAGAAACAACCAGTTGAATTCCTCTTTCCAAACCTATAATTTGCCGACTCTGTCTGATTTGTCCAGGAACAAAACAAAAGATACTAGTAAAACCTGATTAACAACATATTAGTTCAGTGAATCACATATTGTTTTCCTGGGCTAATAATTGCTCAGGAAGAGTCCCTTGAAAAAAAGAGGTTAGAACACAAATATCCATATTCACTCTGACCAACCTAGTGTCATGTTGAGGAAAAAAAACCAAATTGCACATTCTGGAAATGCTCTATTTTTTAATTGTAATTTAAATGTTTTGAGAACATTGGCAAAAATAATGTTCGTAGAAAGAACAGCAATTGATTGCTTTACATCACCACCCTCTGGCCCAGGGTATCTACTCGCTTAGAGGTGTGATGAGTCTCGCACAGCTAATGGGGAGAAATCAGGCGGCATTGACTTGTTGAAAGTCTGGGGAGTGACTCCCAGACTAACTTTCGAAATATGTTTTTTAAATAATCTAATCAAGCAGTGCCTAAACTTTATTTGTAATTGGGCAATAAAGCTTCTGTGTCATTGAGATCAATGTTTCTCAACCTTGGCATCTTTTAAGATGTCTGCAGTTCACCTTCCAGAATTCCCCAGCCACCTATCTCAAAATCACCAAGATTCAGAAACATTCTCACATGGCTCAATAACCACCTTAGAAAAAACAATAGAGGAATATTGTTTTTTTTTATTTGGAAAAAACCAGTTGATGGAGAGATCGATAGAATCAATGCAATCACTGGAATAGTTATGGGACAGTATTAATTTTTTTTATCAAAGATGGTTGCTAGGAGTTAAGCCTATTCACATTCCACCTAATTAGTTAACATATGTAGATCTGTGTATTTGGATGACTAAAGGAAATGGTGCACCTCATGGGCAATGTTCCCTCTAAGGCAGTGGTCCCCAACCTTTTTATCGCCGCGGACCGGTCAACATTTGATAATTTTACCGCGGCTCGCTAGGGGGGGGGGCGTTGATTGTTTATATTTTAGATTGCTTTGATTTAATAATTTAAATTTAATTGTATTTAAACATGCCTTCAAAATAAAATACAGTTACATCAAAAAATGAATATAAAGTGATTTAACATTTAACTCACTAGAACGCTAAATCAATGATAACCCTGAGCTTGTTTCTTTGCAACGAGACGGTTCCATCTGGGGGTAATAGGAGACAATGACATCCGAAGTGTGTTGCTTATGTCCACTTTATTCCGTTGTTTTGTTTTGGTTGCTGTCACTGCAAAAAAACCCACTTCACACAGATAGGATGTTGGAAATGGCAATAGGGATTTAAGTGCTGTGGTGGCAATCTCAGGGTATTCCGCCATGGCTTTAATCCAGAACACCAGCAGAGTTGTTGTCTCGAACGTAGTTTTAAGGAAGCCGTCATTTGCAATCTCCAGCAGTTGATCTTCTTCTTGCACAGACATGCTAGATTCGCCTGGTTTGTTGACAAATGGGTCGTGGATCCATTCCTTACCAGTTTGTGGGTCTTTTGTGGTTGGGAAGTAGCGCTCGAACTCTTTAAAGCAAAGACAGGTGATCGTGCACCAACTGGGAGAATGAATGCTCAGG